CAAGAAAGGCCTCCCAACTCCAATAAAAATTATGTAAATGTGTATATATAGATTGTGCTAAAAAATCTGTGAAGGATGCCAAAATGGACCAAAAATAAAAGATAACTAGGAGACCTTTCAGTGCAATATACACTGTCAAAGGACACCTTAGGACATCTATGATGGGACAGATGATATAATGGGAGTTATTATAGTAAATTTATAGGTCTCCTGTCTCATTGTCAAATCAGTTTCTGCTTTCTGAATTTACCTAAGGTCCTGCCATAAATCACAGGCCAAAATTTGTTTTTTCAGCAAAGAAAGACATCCCCGGAATCACATGGGCTAGGACTGTGTGCCAAGTACCTTAAACTAGTGCTACTTGGAACATTACACTTGGGTACAAGCTTCTGGGCTGAAATTTCCAGACGGCTTTCAGGCTGTACCTCTGTGCACCATGTACCTGCGTACCTGTATGTGGAGCAAGTGTGGGCTGTTTTTAACCTAGAATCAGAACACGTTCATAAAAGCAGAATGCTAAAGAAAGACTCAGAGAACAAAATCACAAAGAACAGAATGACCAGAGGAGGAACATTTTTACCGTGGCTGCACTGATGGGGTTTTAATGTTCCATTTTCTAGATATCTAAAGAAGCCCATTTCTCTTTTTTTCTTAAGCCATCTTTCCAGTAATTTAGCAGATTCTGCTTTTGCAAAGTAAAATGAAATGTTTTCTCTGAGTCTCACTGAACTCTCCACTCTTGAATTTAAAAACTGTGCTTGAGTCCCCTTCTTTTCTCTTAGCAACATAGTAATTTACATAGGTTTAATAACAAAAAACCCTCTCCTTTTCTTAGCATATTATTAGACAAAATTGTGTGATTCTTGCCTTACTTAAAATGGCAGACTTGAGAATGATGGTCATTTAATAGGGTGCCTAACAACTCTAAAGATCAAAGGTTGATTTTACTTCAAGAGCAATGCCTACAAAAACTTCCGAGGAAAACTGGCCTAGGGCCAAGCTGATACGGTTGGCACCTAAAGCCTATTTCCAAGGGTGGAGTATCAACCTCATAAGCACTAAGAAAAGGCATTTGCTTGGTAGGCCAGGCACCTTAGCAAATTTGAGGTTGCTTGGGTAGAGAAGAATTCACCCCAAATGATAGATAATATAGATGAAATACATAGCACTTGAGTTGACTTTATCAGCTTTGACCTAGCAAATAATAGACTTTCTGTTATTGGGATTTTGGTGGTGGTGGGTGTCTGTAGATATTATTTAAAAATATTTTTTATATTTGTATGAATATCTATAGTCATTTTCAGTTGTAAAATTTCTTTAAGTTAGTGTAGACTGCATATACCTTATTGAAAATGCTTGGAATCAGAAACTTCTGATTTTGTTTTTTTGACAGATATTTAAAACTGTTATGCATGCATGTTTGTAGAACTTAATGTTTTCATTCTCTGTGTGGAATTGGTACATATACATAATACATTTCCATTCCTCTTTTCATCTCTTTTCTTCCCCTCCCTCCATCTCTTGATCCTTCCCAGTTGAGAAAGATCTCTCTCTTGATTTCCTATTATCTATCTTTTATTTTGCTCTTTATTTATAATTTGAGTTTGTTGATTGAGGAATGGTTACACTCTATAGTCCAGGCTGGCCTTCTGCTTCAGCTTCAGCTTCCTCAGTGTGGGATCACAGGCATGTACCCTGGCACCCAACTCAATAGTAGACATTTTAAAGTGTAATTCTGCATGACATACTCACTTGTAGTCCTAGCTATGCTAGAGAATGAGGCAGGAAGATTTCAATTTTGGGATCAGTCTAGGGAGTATAGTAACAGCCTATATCAAAATTTAAAAAAAATACATAAAAAGGGCTGGGAAGGTGACTCTGTGGTAAAGCACATGCTTGAATGATTCATCCCGTGATTCAAATGCCCAAGGCTACCAACAAAACAAAACACTTCAGTTCTTAGGTTCTAGTAGCTATTTAATGCTGCTTATTTCTAATTTGCAAAGGTCTGTATGGTTAATTAACACAGTCACTGCACCTATATGAATAACCTGGGCAAACCTAGTGAGACCAGCCCTTTTATGACCAAAGATAATCCTTGGAACTTTTATGGCAACAAGGGGGAAAATTGTTAGAAAAATTGGATAGATTTTGAAATAATTAAAAACAGATTACTGGGAACAGTTGTGTCCTTTCCGGGTTATTTGATTTTACATGTATTTTGCTTGTTTTTTAAACTTGTAAATTGTAGCAGACTAACAGAGATGGAAGTTATTACCTGGAGATGCAAATAGATCATCTGATTGAAACATAATTAATTTCCCTCGTGGATAGCATTAACTTTATATCTATTAGCAATTTTCTGCAGCACTATGATTGCTTATTTAATATATCTGTCTTTGACTTCTTTGAACCACTTTTTCAAAGTGGTTATCTTATCCTTCATTGATAAGATAAACACAGTGGGTGCATGGCTGTAATCCCAGCATTCTAGGAGGCTGGGGCAGAAAGATTCCAAGTTCAAATCCAGCCTGGGCAGGTTAGTAACTAAGTGAGACCTAATCTTAAAATAAAAAAATAAAATAAAGGCCAGGGTGGTAGCTCAGTGCAAAGACTCTGGGTTTAATCCTCAGTAGCCCCTCCCGAAGACATATGAATGATTTATAGGAGGGTAATATTTCTACATTGATGAAACATCCATGTATTTTGTTTTGTTTTGATTGGAGTGTTACTATGTAGTTCAGGCTGGCCTTGAACTGTGTAGCTCAGGCTGGCCTCAAACTCATGAGTGCTGTGGATATAGGCATGTGCCACTGCAGCTGGCCCCATATGCTGTTTAATGTCTTCAATATATTTCGCGTTCTCTTTATATATGAGGTAGTGTAGAGATCTAGCCTTATTATCTATAAACAATAGACATTTTTCATCAGCTATTAACCCTCATTTCCCCTCTTAATTTGAAAGGCCACCTATCTGGTATCATTTGGGTCCTTTTACTCATTTTCATAGCAGCATGAATCTGTGTAAAGAGCTCCAGCCTTACAATATGCATTGGGCAGGTTTATATGTTGTCCCAACCCTGCCAAAGAACAGCAGATTGTCATATCATCTTGGATTCATCTAAAACTCAACGAAAGGCAGACCAGGTGGGGCTCAGGAAGAAGCAGGTTCTCTTTTCTGTGAATCAGCAGAGGCCTTGCTGGGTCTAGGAGGAGCACAACAAGAATTTAGTTTGATCGTCCTGTAAGAAGGGGAAACCTCAGAAGAGGGAAACCAGGTCGCCTTTCCCATGACTGACTGTTATGCAGGCTGAGAATCAAGACCCCACTTTTGACCCCCCCCCCAGAAGAGAGGCTGAGTTGATAGCAACTGAGGTTCAAAAACAACTAAATGCTTCTATTATTTCATTGACTTTGCAGGACTAAGGCCAGTAGTCTGAGCATCTATCAGGAAGATGATAGTATGCAATGTTGGGGATTGCCTTTTTGTCTCGCTTTTGAAATCCAATATTGTTCTGTTTTGTTCTGATTTATTGTTTGGTTTTATTCAATGCTCTGTCTTTATTGGTTTTATTGTTTTACTTTGCTTGGTTTTACTATGTCTGACGGAATGGAACTAATATTGTGAAGATAGCAAGATACATTATGATAGCCATTGTTGATGACCTATTGTCCTGTTTTGAGGTCCTGTACCACTTTCACTGCTTTGTTTTGGTTGGCTTTATTCTTTTTTGTATTGTTGGGTTTTATTCTCCTTAAAAAAAAAAAAAACTTAGTGAGAGATAAAAATATATACACAAAAATTGGCCTGGTCCTTTGGGCCCCATCCACCCTGTCCAGACCTTCTTAACCAAGTAGAATGCAGTTAGGAATCTGGAAGCTAAGCCAACAGGGCCTCCGAGGGGTGGTTTCCACAAAGCTTGGTTTGTTTGTTAGGGGGAAGAGGTAGATACGCTTTACCTTACCATTGTGCATAACACAGAGCAGACTAGAGCTAGTGTTAGACACTCGTGAATCAGTAACGGGAGGAGCAGGTCTATCCAAAGCATTGCAGATGGAGAATAAAACCTGCTCACTCTCTCAATAGCTTTTCCAATGCACAATTCCTTACCACTGCTTTGGCTGGAAAGTGATCATTACTTACTTTGCCCTTGGGATTTGGGTCAGTGAAGTTAAGGCACAGGATGCACGTAAGGGCAAAAGCATCAGCTGTATTCTTAATGAAGCTGGACTGCAGTGTGTAGCTTGGACTCCCATGCCTGAGTTTCTACCCCGAGATCCCTTTGGGCCAGTATGACCCAGTGGGAGGTCTGTCATCACCTGGACAATCTAACGGGGTACAACTGTCACACCAAGGCCTCTGCTACTCCTGCACTACCTGTATCCACAAAGATTTGTATGTCAGGAGTAGATGGCCTGGCCATCGATGACCGAGATCACAGGGAGAAACTGGTGATGGTAAGAAAAGGCGAGGCTTGGTATCTTACTCCCTGGTAGTTCTTATGGAAGTCCCAGTATTGACAGAATCCTATTTTATGGTGGCTGCAGTGTGGAGACGGCCCTTTATATAAAACACAGGACAGAAATATATATTCATGATGGTGAACCTGAGTTCAAACACTGTGCTACTCACTGTGTTTATGAAGAACAAGTATGTGTTAGATCATATACATTTTTAAAAAATCTTTTTGAGGCAGGATTTCAAAATGCAGTTCAGGCTGGTCTCAAATTCACTTTGTAGCCCAGGCCGACCCTGAGCTCACAGTGATCTTCCTGCCTCAGCCTCCGAAGCACTGGGATTACAGGTGTACGCCACCATGCTTGGCCTTCCAGATACTTTTTATCAGTTTTTTTAATTCGAGTATTGAAATGTAACCATCCATGATTTAGGGCACGACAAATGTGTGTACACTGTTCTCCAGCAATTCTGAAGAGTTATATTATACTCAGCTGCCTTGAGTCTGCATCCTGTTCCAAAAGAATCAATACAAGATTTGTAAGTACTTTTATTTCACATTTTAATTGTTTAAAAACTATGTTAACAGAACAGTTATAGACAGAATTTCTTACATTTCTTTATTTACACCACATTTTGGAAAAAAAAAACCCTCAGCTCTATTAGATTAACTCTGAATAGCAAAGTTTTGTGATGTGTGATTTACTTTTAAATCACCCATCTGAAATTCATTTACAAAGTTTTTACATTAATGAAATGGTGGGGTCACACATAAGAGGCTCATAAGAAGTCTAAAATACATTGAACTCTAGATAGTGGATTATATACTAATGTTCTGAAAATTCAAGTGTTTTGGAAAAAAATGTAAGACATTCTATGTTGGTGTTGACATTAAAATAAACAGCAGACATGCAAGACATTTGAAAGAAAATAACATTTTTCCCATCAAATTTGTGCTCTTAGTTAATATTCAGGTTTTTTTCTCTCCCCCTCAAAGATCCCAAAGTTTGGGAAATGCAGCAAGTCAATTTTGGAAAAAAAAAAAATCCCCCCCATTTCTATTTCCATAAATACTGTGTAGTGGCATCAATGGTAACAGCGAAAGAACTTTATGAAGAAACAATTTGTCATTTTGTGTACACCTGGTTCTACATGACAGTGATCGGGGTCTAAATACTCCTTACTGGTAGCTCAGAGAACTATTGTTTAAATAATTGATCTTTAACACCAGCATAAGAAATCAACACAGCTATTTCTCAGACATTGTTTTTTCTAAACAATTGAATAAACTTTTAGGTTACAAGGTTACATTGAGAGAACTGTATTATCTGGGAGAGAAAATGAAATTTTTCTAATTCCCAACCAAAAGCCACTAATACCTATGAAAACATTTTTATATGCAGATTCTAGTGACTTCTATTTCAGTGCGGATCAACAACTGCAAAAATATACAGCCTCCTATTTATGTACAGTGTATTTACATAAGAAGGAAGTATCCCTACAAGAAGCCTCGGCTGCATAGATTCCTTTACAAATACAAATTCCAGCCCGTGTGCAGACAGACGCAGTTTCATGGCCCTTCTTCAGAGCAAACCCTAAGGAGCGAGGGTGTCTGCATCTGCCTACTTTTCAAGAACTCTCCCTTTTGGATTTAGTGATGTTTTTCAGTTGTCAGCCACCCTGCACCCAATTTGTATCTGAAAGCCTTACATCATTGTCAACAATTCACCATATTTTAGAGAATGTTGTATGGCTAAAGGAGTCTCATCCCTAAGGAAAGTGAGTTGTTTATTAATATTGCTAAATGATGCTGCAGCTTTGTTTTGAAAGTGGCTAGATGTTTGAGTGGGGGAATTATATTATTAAAGCCCGTGCTCTTTGTAAGTCTCAAACTATTTAAGCTGATATATGGTGGGAGACTAACAGTTTTGATCCAAGGCATAAAACCAATAATTGATCCTATCACACACATCCTCCCCTCTCTGACTAAAAGTGCCACCCAACACTCTAGCTGAGGAAAGAGTAACGAAAAATTTAGTTTTGACCTCTTTGCAGCTACGAACACCGTGATTATCACCGCACCGAGAGACCCGAAGAGCAGCAGCACAGCGAGCAGTTAAGGGACCCTTTACTCCTTCCCCAGAGTTCGAGGAACTATCTTCCAAGGCAGCACTCACAGGTAGAACAAAAGAGAAGCTATTCGACTTGGAGGGGTCCTCAAGTTTGAAGTGTCCCTGAAGGCTGTGTAGCAGATTACTGTGCATTGAGAACCACTGGCTTGGAGGCCTGGTCCCACTCCAGAAAAAAGTCAATTTGTGGGTCTGAGGTGTCCTCCTAAATAGAGGGATCTTTGTCTACACCAACCTTCACTGCTACTCGTTCTTTTCATAGGGCGTGAAAATGTGAAAAAGGGACAGTGGGTAGTGAGCTTCCTCTGGCTGCGGGGCAGTAGCTGCACCCCAAAGCCGGCAAAGGTCCTGCCAATAGAAGCTGGCCAGGCAGCCTGGGAGGCACAGGAAAGATCAAGTACCGGCGGCCGGGAGATGTCTGGGAGTTCTCCTCCCCTTTTTTTCTGGGAACTGCACTTTTGGTCGCTGCAGATCATCTCTGGCTCCTGGTGACTGACCTCACCGGTCAGCAGGGCTTCGGTGGTATGTGGCTGGGGACACAACGTCCAGATCTTACCAGCGACAGGCAGCCACATATTCTTGGCCATCTGAGCATATACACACTAGAAACAGTACATTCCATTTGTTGGCCCGGTTCTTTTACGGGCAAATTACATTATCCTATTTCAACTAGACTATGGGTTTGAGCATTCTTTTTCTAGCTGGTTTAAGGGCCTGAACCTCCATGTATAACCTGATTTTTAAATGAAAATATATTCTAAGTTACAATTAAACTACAATATTTTGGACTCTGCTTTCCGTACTCACCTCGGACTGCCTGTGCCTACGTGAGTGGATTCTGTTCCTGCATGCTGTGCTACCTCTATGTTCAATAAGTAGCACTAAGTAAATTAGGCATTTACAGTATTCTCTGTTACAATAACTAGAGAACAGTTCTAAACCCAAAGAATGAACTGGCTTGGTTCTCTAGTGTAGAGATCCTATCTACCACAGGAAAATGTGCTGTTTCCCACAGCTAAGGTTCAGGAGTCTTTAGTCTACTAATTTAGCAGAAAAATATCTATAGCACTTGACTGTGCTGCTTAAGCTCTACCTAACGTCTATGATGCATGTACTTTTTTGGCTATCACTTCACTATTTTGAACAAGAATAAGAGCGGTAGGTACATTTTACAGCTAATCCCACACACAAGTCATGTAATCAGTGACATTTGACAAGTTACAGTATGGTTTAGTATATATTCAGTCAACAGGACACTCCAGTACACAAAGGAAGGCTTGAAAACATGTGGTCTACAGATATCAACCATACTGTAATTTATTCTAAATAAATATATTTTAAATAAAAAATTTCCCATATGGACACACAAAGTTCAGAGACCCAAAAATATCACTACACATCCAGAGTTAATAATTTTCTGAATTCACTGTGTGCATGTAAAATGAACTGTTCTAAAGCAACGAGAAAGGAGCACAGCATAGCTTGCAAACTACGTCTTTTTTTAAATGTAGGCTTGTCCTTCTACCTGACTTCACTTGGTGCCCCAGATAAACGCCAAAGGGCAACTGAATCTTGTTTTGCAGAATCTGTCACTGCTCTTATCATGGGAACCACTTCTGAAAAGGACAGAGATGGTTGTGTAGTCTACTGGGTTATGATTCATACCAGTGTCAGGTGTTCCAACCTAATTGCCTGAACTTTGACCTAATATAGATCTAATTCTCAGCATTACATGAAAAGCTATGTTGATCCAAGGCAGGAATATAACCTCTTAATCTCCCCTAAGAGGGCCACAGCATCCTTTGATGTCCATCTTATCTATGGGACATTAGTCTGGAAAGGGAGAGACAGTTCTGAGTGACTCTCAGCGAGAGTGAAGGCCTGCAGGGATTTGAGTTAGGGAGGAATAGAATCCAGAGCTAAATGCTAGGACACACTGGCAGCTGTTTGCAGTTAGGCCCACTTATCTCCAGAAACCCAGTGACCTCCTGTGTTTGGAGAATTTAATTGGAATGCGTATAGATAAAAGGATAGCTCACGGCCCAGGCATGCTGCTCAACGCACAGGACACGGGCAGCCCAGGGACAGGGGAAGCCAGCTGGGGAGGAGATGCCTGGCTTCCTTGGGGTTCCCTTTCCTTTCCCAGCTGCCTGGCCCCCAGCTCTCGCCTCTAGGAGAAGAACTGGGGTAATGGTAAGGGGCAGCTGCCCTCCTGTGTAAGTCTCGCTGGGATGGGCAGTAATGGGAAACGGAGGCCCTCTTGCCTTCCCCATTAGCAGAAGAAAGGTACACAGTGATTTCAGCAGATGTTGTTCAAAAAGACCATCTCTGACAGGTTATTTGCAAGACTAGAGGAGAGTTAATGGAGAATAGACATAAGTGAGGCTTATTTAAGGTACAAAAATCTTGTATTTATAGTAACTTATAAAACAAGTCATTAAAAGACTCCCCTAAAATACTCAATATAAAACAAGAATTTCTTATCCTAAATAATGTTTAGGTACACATTATTCTCCTTTACTAAAAGCCGGTGGACAGACCTAAATGCTGCTGGGCTTCTAAATATCATTTTCCTTCCCTTCAACAATACAGATGTAAGGCAGAAGACTGCCGGAGTCTGAGGAACATTCTCTCAGAAATTTTGGACAATCTTTCCACTGCAGGTGCCCTGGGTCTCCCCCTTGGAGAAGCCAACTCTGACTAGAGTAACTCTGACATGGGGATGCCAAGAGGGACACAGAACTTCATTTGGTAGATTTTCCAAATGTGTAGTTTCCTGTATTTACCAATGTCTCATTCCCTTCCTTCTCAAGTGCAAGCACTCACACACAAGTCTCCACTCAGGAGAAGCATGTGGCAGGCCACCGGACAGCCTGAATCAGAGCCACCTCAACTATTGTGCATGTTCAGACCCAGCGATAGCAAGTGCCGTTCAATGCTCATGTGATTATCCCTGTGTACTGTGTTAACCAAAATAAGCAAATTATTTAAGAAACCATTTTTTTCCTGTAAAGCAAAATAAATATATACAATTCAAGGTTCATTTCTCTTCTAAAAAGTTTACAGATACTGTGAGCTGAACTTCAGTAGGAAAATTATTTTAGAATCTGGATGTATAATAAATAAACATGATGGATGATCATGTTTTTAAAGTTCTAAGAGACCAGGAAGCCACCAAACACAGCGTTAGGAGAGTGAAAATAATTGCTTGTGAAAAGGACTAGAAAATACGATTCCATGAAATTAGGGGGAGGGGGGTAGATCCACAATTCCTAAAGAGATCCCAAATCTTGAAGGGACAGGAACCATTATGTAGAGGTTTGTTTTGTACCCAAAGTGTCATTCCATTTTAAGTATCTTGCACATTTCCGTTTGCTTCTGAAAGCTTTCAAAAGAAGTGGCGAGGGGTTGCTGATGTGCGGTGACTTGATGAGCAGCAGACCAGAATGTTTCCTTTTCTTGGCCAGTTTCAGTGGCATGCATTTCCACTGGCTGAGCAGGCCCAGTCATAGATCACCAAGGGAATGCTGACCAAGGAGAACAACACCCCCAGACTCAAAAACAGGGCAGCCTGGAGCAAGAAAAAGGCATGGGTTATTTCTAGTACAGCCAACTATTTTCATACACACCTGGGTTAAGAAAATTTAAAGTCCCCTCCCTTTGTGTCCCCTTGCGTTTGAAGTTTGTTTCAACCACTGCCAAGCAGTGAGCCTCTTAGTCAAACTGTGTGAATCTGACTCTGTCAGAACAAGTATGAAAAACACGCTAAGTGAGCCAACCTCTGCATTCTGTCCTGATTTCAGGGTCACCTCGTGTGCATTTGTTCTATCAGGAAAGGAGTTTCCTTACAGCTTTCTCTCAAGCTGACATCATCTTGAAGGAAAGAGAGAGGGAGGAAGTGAAAGAAAGCCAGTCAGCTTGGGAAGTACCCAGGCTGTTTTGTTACATGTGATCTAGCGGCCTAGGTTATCACTAAAAGGCAAACATTTATATTCGGAAGAGTGGAAAAAATGCTGTACAAAGTAGATTCAGTCAAGTGAAATGGAAACAGGTGCCCAAAACCAAGTTCCCTGAAGGACTGATGAAGGTCTGGGTGACCAGATGACTAGGTCCAACATGAGATGCTAATTCACTTAGCTTTGCAAATGTGCAGCAAAGCAGAGGCGGGGAAACAGTGAAGGCCTGTGAGGGGGAGCCGGAGCTAAGGGACAACCAGTCTAACTCAGCCGTCCCTGCCTGGTCATCGCCCTTGCCTAGTGCTATTTGAAAGACCCAGATTTATTGTAAGAGCAGAGAAGGAGAGGCCCAGAGAGTTCACGGGCCACAGGCCCCCATCCTTTGCAGGTTTAATCAGATATATTTCACTGCAGTGCTGCAGTGATTGCTCCCTCCTTTCTGTCCTTGTGAGGACCTTCCAGGTAAGGCTTAGGAGGATTTGGGATTTGTGGTTTCAGGGCAATCCTCTCAGGGAATGAGGTGCTGGACAGCAGCAGTGCTGCTTCCCTCTCCCCTGGGTCTGTTGACTCGGTACCATGTGCGAGTGCAGTGCTTACACTATCTGAGAGGGCGGCTGAGAAGCCTTCTCCGAGGCAAGCAAAATGGTGCTCCAGAAGGGACTCAGGTAGCAGTCACTTCAGCCCTGCTTCCCTCACTGTCTCCAAGTGCACCACCTTCGAGATGCCCTTGAACTTCACCAGACCTGGAAACAAGAATCCCAATATAGAAAGGTAGTTTTTGAATCCAGGTCTGCTTGTTCCAAAAATTTGTCAAATCATAAAAAGACTTTTTAAGCTAGTTCCAGGCATTTCATTCAAGGCACTTTGCATGTGCCCTGGGCTGTAAGAAGTTGTTATATAACTAGAAATCGTACAGCAGCGGTGGACTGCATCAAGCCTTTAAGCTCCTTTGCGTTCCTATCTTGCTAAAGGCACGGTGCTGCCCTACAGAGACACAGGAGTAGATACCTCCATCCTCCCAGCTGGCCATGCTCTGGATCAGAACAAAAGCTAAGGCGTAATAAAGATAAAACCAGGAGAAACATTTTGAGGGAATGGAGAAGATTCTGATATGAAATTTTTTATCATCCAAAGGGGAAATTATAGACTAATGTCTCTTTCAAGGCAACTGAAAGTAGTAGTAGATGGAAGAGAGATGGACTACTTATTTGCTAAATTTAAATGGAAAACTAATCAGAAACATTAGAGTGGTTGGCAAGAGACATTACCCAAATTCTTTGAGTGCCTTTATCTCCATCCTGGCTTGTGATTTTTAAATAAAGAGATGATGGAAGAATGAAAATAAGCATATTAGCAGATGTCACGCCTGCAAAATAAAAAGAAAAGGAGAAAGTTTGGGATTGTTATTTCACAATTTTAACTTTCAAGAGCTTCTATGTGCTGTAGAATGATCAGGGCAAAGTAAAACAGACATACCTACGACTCCAAAAATATCCTTCATGGTTGGGATGAAGATCACCAACAAATTGAGAATAATCAAGAGCATGATGGTAACCAAGATATGGCGACATAAATTAAACTTTGTTTTCTTAGCCAGTTCAAACAAAGATGAGCGAACCTGTAGGAAACAAAACAAAGGCTCCATCAACTCCCGAACATGCCAACCTTCACATTTCCCGGCAGCCAGCAGCTGATTGATTGATGGCCAGGAATTTATAAAACGCTTTGTAATGCTTAGAGAATTCAGAGGTACCTTAACACTTCTGGAGATGAGGGAGGTTCACTTAAACTGCAAAGTATTTTAACATATAAGGGTTGAGGGCCAGAGATATAGCTCAGTGGCACAAGTGCCTGCCTGGCCAGTATGAGGTTGTGAGTTCGATCCCCTATACCACAAAGAAAGAAAGAAAGAAAGAAAAAAAAAGGGAAAGAAATTTATTATACAAGGGGTGATCAAAATATACAGTGAGTGTTTAAGATTTTTAAAATCTTATTTGGAAAAAGATACATTGCCATCAATTCCCCTCAAAGTACCCTTAGCTCGCACACTTATTCCACTGCTTTTGCCATTTTGAAGCGGTTCTTGCGTCTTTATAAGGTGTGATCAATAATGTGGTGAATACTACCAGTGAATGTCATCCAGTAAAAAGGTTGTCTTGAAAAACATTACAGTGTGTCCTCATCCACCCCCATTACTGGACCTAGCACCATGCAACTTCTAGTTCTTCTCCAAAGTCAAAGTGACTATGACAGGTAAAATTTCAAATGGATTCAGTATATTAGGGCAGCCATGACATCATAACTAAAGACATTCATGAATGACTTTCGGAACTGCTTCAGAGAGTGACAAGAATGATGAAATAAGTGTGCAAAGTAAGGGTGAGCATTTTGAGGAAGACGGTTGGCATTGTCTTTTACTGTAATAAAGAAAAAATTAAACATTCACCACAGTTTTCGATCACCATACTTTTGGCAGTGGGGCAATTTATCAGGACTCAGACATCCAGGAAGGCTGGACTAACTCCCTGATCCTATGTGCTGCCCGAGGAACAGGGCATCTCGGGCTCCTTCCCTGATGTGGTGCAGATGATCAGGGAAGTCACCTGCAAGCAGCTTTCTCTGGAGCAGACTATGAAGGTAGAAGGAAAGGCGAGAACCTGGCTTTCCTCAGGTTGCACTGAGGCTTTTACTCACTGTGAAAAACAACACCGGCACCGTGAGGATGACGGCAACAATGACAGCCAGCCGCACTGTCAGGATGAGAATGTCATTTTTACTCTGGTACTTGTGAAGGAGGTCGGACTGAACAGTATCTAAAACAAGAGAGAAAGAGGCTTTAAGATTAGACAGAGTGTGATGCTGAATGCAGCTTTTCTGAACAACAGAGAATTTGCAAGCCACGGGGCCAGGAAGAGAATGTTTAAAAGAATCTATTGAAACGATTTTTAAGGTTGAAAGAGAATTTCGGGTGTGGGAGGCCTTCTCCACAGTGCACACTAACTTTAGCTAAATGGAATGCTTCGTTTACACTAAATAATGCAGCTGAAGCACAAAGACCCTCCTAACCTAGGCTTTCCCCACCAGAAGCTGCTTTTCAAGCCACACCAACCAGTCACAGTCTCACTACAGGGACTGTGGATCACATGAGCTTCCTCTTTCTGGACTCTTCCTGTGTAACCCAAATTTCAGTGACTACACAGCAGAGCCACTAACTTAACTTCACGACCAGCAGGAAAGGTTTCTCTCTCATTGATGCTTTTGTCATAAAAAAATTATTTTGTGTAGGCACTATTTTGAATTTTTCTCAATTTAGAACTTCAGAAAATGTTATTTCAAAGACTACCAATGTTGGAATGGTAGTCACAGAAGAATACAAAAATGCTCATTCTCTGGAAAAGAAATAATTTTTCTCTTATGGGTCCTTTCCAGGGCTTCTCAGTACACCAATCTCAAGGTTCTGGGCCTCTGAACCACAGGTGCTGAACCAGGACCAAAGTTTAAAGTAAAAGTCTTGTTAGTTCTAATTTTCTTAATTCAAAATTCATAACCACTCAGAAACGGCCAAGCCCTTTTCTTTCATGTAAGAATATAAAAGGGTATGTATGTTATTGTATGTGGAAAATGGATTTACAAAGAAAAATGAGTTGGACAGTGCGACTGCTCACTGAGCATCATCGGCCCCACCTTGCCCTTCCTTTTGCCCGCCCAGCCCTGAAGCTCCACAGGGACCTCAGAAACACCATTTTCATACAGCAACTAAATGTAGTTATGGACTCGTAGAAGATAATGCTCTTGCTTAAGAAAATAATAATACAGTTGAACAGAGTGGCCTTTCTCCCCAAATTGAATTAACCTTTAAATGTATTTTGAGATATTTCTGTTTATAAAGAAAATGCCCCAAAGAAATATTATTTAATAAAGGAGAGTATGAAATATATTTAAATTAAATTCCAAATTATAATGCTAATGAAAGATGTTAAATAAATCTGCAGGATCATTTGGAAAGGGAAACCTAAGAAGTAGCAAAAGCAGGTAAACTATTTAAAGTAGTGTCAGTAACAGTTACAGATGAAACCTTGTTTTCTTTTTCAGATTTTTTTTCTTTTAACTTTCTAGGTCTTTCCTTTCAGTCTTCATAAGGCTTCAAATTCCAGTGACCAATTAGGTATTTTATTTTTAATTAACACGGAGTATCATGAGTGTAGCACCCTGCTCTTTCTCACTTTCAACATCTATCTTTGTCTTTCTTTTCTATTAATGGAATCTGACCCACTTTGCAATGTCAATTAGGAAACCTTTTGCTGATGTAGTTTAAATTTGCTTAAGTAAAGAGTAAGATATGCTTCGAAAATGCAGTTTCTTTTAAGGACACTATCAGGAGAAAAATAATACAGCATTTTTTTTTGGTAATTATTTTATTTTGCAATCTGCATGAATATATAAAAGGAAACATAATTTGCTGTAAGAAACAAACACCCCCCAAAAAACGGGTGGCTTTGCTGCTCTCCCAGACCTCCACGTTAACAGTTACTGTGATATTGACTTTTACTAATGTATTTACCAATACCTGTATGTACTGCAGAAGTTACTTACCATAGAATGTCAAGTAGCCAAAAATGGCAGTCAAGAAGTACATAACAAACATGGCAAAAAAGGAGATATTTGAAACCATCTGCATTTTTTTCTGGGTTCGACTAAAAACAAAAATAAAGAAATTTCAAAATTTAAAAGCAACACGACTGAATTGAAGCCCCAAGGTTAACACTGAGGAGTATGCTAACTTATCATAGTGTGTGTGTGTGGGGGGGGGGGGGGTAAAAAGTCACTCCCAGTTTTGAGGGTGGTTGAGGGTAACTTCCTTAGTCCCAAACGGGTGTTGTGATGCAGATCCCATGCACTGCACTCCCTAGAGTGTTCTTCCCTGTGGCTTTGAAAGATTAGCGAGCTCTCATCTGAGGGACTGACAGTTTTATTATTTGTGCTTGCTATTATCCCCACACTGATCATGCATATGAAAAAAGGTAGCAACAACCCAAATGCTCTTCTCCCAGGCCCAGGAAAGCAGCACAGTGGGAAACTGACTTTAGGAACTCTGTTCTTTGGGTTCTGCTTTCCCGGTGAGTAGCCCCAGGATATATTCTTTCTCTGGAGTAGTCAGTGCCCAGGAGCTCGCAGCTAGCCCCTAGGTCAGTTATACTCTGGGGTTGGAATGATCTTTAATGGGTCACATAATTAATTCATCCCCAAGAGTTGTACTCTAGAATGGACAAAGATAGTCATATTTGCTTGTGTGATCCTGTGATGTCAAGGACATGTGGAAATATAATGACAAGCTAAGAGCTGGAACATTAGATGTACGAGATGTCAAGACCTATTCAACTTTCCAAAGCGCAAGCTCATTAGGGTGGACTGATATGTAGATATTTGTAGGTATCTCAGAATGTAGCTGTATATCAATTATATATGAAAGAATTCAACGCTAAATAACATCAACTTTTAAAAAAATCTCAAAATGCAAGTAAATACTTGAGCTTTCTGAGCTTAAGATCATGTCATCGTGACTATGTATACAGAATTAAGAGGGATATACGCAAGCCTTTAGTCCTCTCTAAACTGACAGGCAAAAATAAATCCATAGAATCTCCTTAATAATTTGAGGTAAATATTTTTTCTAATTTTTTTGTTGCAACATTTATTTCTCCATCTTGATTTTCCAGTCTTTTCTACCCAAACCAACAAGGAATAACAGACAATGTATTTTGGGGGAGCATACCAGGGATCAAACTCAGGACCCTGCACTTACCAGGCAGGTGCTTATACTACTGAGCTATAACCCCAGCCCCTCATTTTTTTTTTTCCTGGCAGAAACAATGTATTTTGCAGCTTATAGGTCAACCTGAAAATTACCGTCCATTTGCAAAATAAGCCTAGGTCAAAAAAGCAATACAAATACTTGAATGCTCTTAATATTGTATAGTATTAGAAAAATCAAATTAATTGGTTGGATACTTAATATATTTATGGCCAAAAATACTGAAGGTTTCTGATTCTTCTTAATGCAGTACTTAAGATAGGCAGAATGTTAGTAAATATTGAAATGGGTGATTAATCCATGCAGGTTCATTTTATACACCTTTACTTTAATTGCCTATTGATGGGGAAGTTTAAAATAATTAAGATATAAAAATCATGTTTCTTACTCTTTAAGCTCACTGTAGATTGGCAGGACCGACGGGTGGCAAACAAAGGCAAATGCAATGGTTGGTAAAGCATACACGGTCTATTGAAAAGAAAAAATATAAATATTAAGAACAGATGTTTCTTTTCTTAATCTGACAGCTCTTCAGAATCCCTGAGTTATTTGGTTTTTAGGATAGCTCTGGTCATGAAAATAGCAGCAGTTTTTCTAAGAAGACTTATCCAGCTTGGGCCTCTAGGCACTTATTGTAGGGGCACTTATTTAGATGTGGCTCCTACAGTGTCTTTTATAAAGCCCAGGCAGGGCAACACCCCAGGCTTCTGTGGCACTTGCTAGTTACATGGTCCTTCTCCTCCATCATCTCTTGGGTCCCCACAGCAGCCTAGAGTAGCAGACAGGTCCTGGCTGTTCTCTGATTCCCTGTTAGGTGAGTTGGCCAGGAATTCCACCTTTAATGACTGCTCTCTGTGCTGCAGTAGGTGCAGCAAAGCACACTCACAGTACTCAATGTGGTTGTGTGCACCTCCATTCTTAGTTACTCAGGAGGATGAGGGAGAAGGATCCAGTGAGACAGGAATTCGGGAGCAGCCTGAGCAACACAGTGAGACTCCATGAAATACTTGACAGACAACATCTGAAAGGAAAATTTTTCCACAGCTCACTATTTTGCTTTGGTCCCTTACAGCTGAGAGAGAGAGAGAGAGAGAGAGAGAGAGAGAGAGAGAGAGAGAGGGCTTTTAATATTCTTAGGTAAGACTTTAAAACTCAAATTCAGTATACCTTCTCATGTAAAAAAAGCTGGCAGAGAAGAAGTAAAAGTAACATCTAATTTTGCTGAGGTTAGGTACCAGGTACATTTCAGCAAAACTCTGTAAGATCCAGAATAGGACCCTCATTTTCATAGGAGGGACTGGATGATTTGCTTAAGAGGTGGAATCCCAGCCTCACTTGATTGCACAATCCACTGTTTCATACTATCAACCCTATGTTCTTGTCCTTTTTCTTTTTTCTTTTGTGGTACTGGGGATTAAACTCAGTGCCTCTGCACTGAACTACACTGCTAGACCTTTCAAACAATTTTAAGATAAGATCTTGCTAAGAGTTGTCTGGGCTGGGCTTCAATTTGTGATCCTTCTGCATTAACCTCCCAGAGTGGTAAGAGTGCATGTGCCACAAAACCCAACTTCAACTATATTTTTATTAAGATATGCAATGTTTTTAATATATGAAATGTTATATATGACTATTTAATATACGAAATGTTATTAAGATATGAAATGTTATTAAAATATGAAATGTTTGTGGTGGTGTCTATATATCAACTGTTCAAACTGAGGAATCCTGTGGTGTTTTTTTTTCTGTCACTACCCTAAAAGGCTAAAGACATTATTAATCTGTTTCTAAAGCATCGCAGAGTATATTACACAGCACAGGAAGATCTGAGACATTTATTACCCAGAAAGAGATTTTCAGAGAACACTAACTATTGTCACAAGCTTGGTAAAGCATTTGTGTATTTCTCAATAGCTTCTGAATGGATTGTGGACTAGAGAAGGAATTGTATGGTGTGTTCTTTCAAGAACGAGTACATTCAAAACAGTGTAATTACAAGTATGAGAAATATACTGCTCTTATTAAAAATGCTCATGTTTATCTTTAGTGGTAACAGGAATTGAACTCAGGGCCTTGCATTTGCCAGGTAAGCGCTTTTGCCACTGAGCTATATTCCCAGCCCCTATGTTTTATCTTTAAAGGACAGGAACTCATACCTTTGAATTGAAGGTGACATATTTTGGTGTACAAGTACTTGTAGAATTAGCACTTATTGTTGAATTTAGCTGTGGAAGAGGGCAGGGAATCTGAAATTTCTTGTAGATAACCTGGTATTAAAAATATAAGAGAAACAACACAGGTTTTATTAAAACCAAATAATGAGTAATTATTGCATGGCAATGTACTATGTCAAGGACAAACCAACAGTTGGGCACTTACCACAATTAGGAAGAAAACCATGCAGCTCAAGGAAAATCCACTCGTATAGCCAAGGTACCCTTCAAAAAGAAAAAAGTAATTGCTAACATTATTCATTCATTACTTTTATTTTTCAGTGCATTACCTCAAACATAGTCTAGGACTTTACTAATATACCACTGGATATGAGATTTAACTTTTTATTTTGTGGCACTGTGGATTGAAACCATGGCCTCTGCCCTGAACTATATCCCCAGTCATTTTGTATTTTTTACTTTGTGACAGGGTCTTGCCAAGTTGCCTTGGCTGGGCTGGAACTTAAAATCTCCCTGCCTCCGTCCCTCAAAAAGTGCTGTGATTATAGGCAAGTGCCACCATGGTTGGCTGAGATTTATTATTTGACAGTGCTACTTTGTTTGGCAAAGGGCTTCGAATGAGGGCATTAAACTAGGTGTGCCGAGTCCAGTGCTTTCTGGCACACTAGAGTGTGGATTCCCAGAATCTAGGAAAAAGGAGCCTCCCAGTGGGACCCTAAGTCTCTGTGTTAAGGACTGTAATGGAGGCTATGGGCAAATCTGTTTACTCCCCGATCCTCTGGGTGGAACTTACTGTGCCTGCTGAATGTCAGTTGTAATACTTCCCTCTCAAGATGAGAGGCATATAGTGAAGAGATCATGTGAATTTCTAGAGATAAGTGGAGCATCTGAGGAACTCACTCTCTCACCTTACAGTGCCTGGGAGAGCTCCTACTGTGCTGCGCAGCCTGCAGCCTCCTGGGAGGGGCCTTCTCTGAAACCCTCTCTGAAATCAGGCAAGAACTGCTACGCATATCGATAAGGCCTACATACTGACTCAGAAACCAAAAGTAAGGAATTTTTAAGAAATCTACTTATGAACTCCAAAGAAACTATCAAATCTGACATTTCTAGAGCAAACCAAACCAAACCAAAATAAAAACCGTGTGGTTTTTAATCACTTTTGGAAGACTTTAATCAATACTTTTGCCTTGAATTAAGTCGGAATTATAGGGAATACATTTTAGAAGTTTATGACTGGATGGCAACCTAGCCTCATGACCTGATGTGTGAAATTTCCAAAGCCACTGGGCATATCAGTCTCCAAATACATGAACTGAAACACATGTCAAAATCGAATGGATACGACCTGGTTTGGACGTCATCTGTCATTTTTAACTTTAAACTTGACTCTCTCCCTTCAGTGACAGAAATCATGTAGCTCGGCTAGCTTCTAAATTTACAAATGATTCACATACTTTTGGTTGTAAACATAAGCAACTTTATCCTATATCAGCTTCAAAAATCTACTTTTGTCTAAATAATCAATTTAAGGCCTCAGAAGTGACTTCCATTTTCTGGACTTGTTTTGGAGCAGCCTGTAAGTTGTGCTGTTGGAAACTGCAGTCTCTGTCCTGGCCTCATGACCACTTCTTAGTTCTTCCAGCTGTGGGGAGGAACTGCTCAGGAAATCACATACAGACCAGCACTGATTTATTTTCTTTAATTTTGTTTGCCTGAAGACTGAGGATGGAACTCAGGGCTTCATGGATGCTAGCTCTAAGAACTCCACCCCTTTTTATGTTCATTTTTGGAGACATGGTCTCACTTATGTTTCCTTGTGATCTTCCTCCCTTGACCTTTCAGTTAGCTAGGGTTACATCCGACAGTAATTCTGGGCCTGATTAATACTTGCGATTTATGATTTACTTAATTATTATCCTATAAGTGGAACAGAAGGCAAAATTGTTCATCTTAGTCAGTTTATGATTCATCTGGGCACTGGAAGCACTACAATGAAGTCAAGATTTTTCTTTACCTAAATTCTTCAAGAGACACAGAGGGAGAATTATGCCAAAGGTAACCATCACCACCATAAGTCGGCCATCCACATACCAGGCTCTGAAAAGGAGGAAGCAGCTAGGTTACAGTTTCTGTTTAGAAATTGACATTTTTTTCCCTTCAAATATAAAATTTCATGATATACTTTACTTAATTTTTATGACTAATTTTACCATCAAATGTTTGATCATTATTAAGGTTTTATCCAGACACTTTAAACCAGCCACTATCCTTTTACTACTGCTTCATGCCTGTGTAATAGAAGAAGGGATACTGTTTTTTCCCTTGCTCTCCCACTGGCTAAATGTGGCATTCCTTTGAATTACTTATGTGGTTTCAAAGCTGAATGCATACATTGCATTCTGTCAGATTACAACTTGTCTTCTCAATTATTGAAAGAGAAAGTTCCTTTTTGTTTTGCTTGGCTAACACCAGTGGAATCGAGTCACCACAGGTAGGCATTTCTTTCCCCCTGATCCTGTGCATCTGACCTTGAATCCCAAGGCTGGAACACTAGGAACTCTGACTTCTACACTTTTCCCTTGAAGGAAAACAGAGAAACTAACACTGACAAGAACTGTTAAACAAGACAGAGTCCAAACATAATTGTACCAAATACAGCTGGCAATGTTTTCCAGGGTTAGCTATATCTTTAGTGAGCTTGGCTCATACAAATTTTGCTCCCCTAGTGCTATAAGCCTTTAAGAAAGCGGTTAGGGTCTTAATTTTTTGTTTTTAATATGTTCTACATCTATGTTAAGAAATACTCTAAATATACTCTAAATATATTCTATTCCATAGAAACTAGATATAGGAAAATGGAGTATCTATTGGTTGCAATGTGGCAAATGAGTCTACCTTAAATGCTTATATTCAAATGGCTCCCGTCCTTCTTTTACTGATATTACCCCAAAGAGATTTACTATTAAAAAAGCAAACAAGAAACCTTTAATCAATTTTAATCAATTTTCATTAGATAAAAATATTGATTATCCTGCATTCAAATTAAAGTCACATCACAAAAAAATAGTCTATAACTTACGAAAATGTCTCATCCTTTCCCATTAGAAACTTTATGGCAGCAGGTAGTTCATTTTTTACTATGAAGAGGTAGCTCAGCATTGCTGGAGGAAAATGAGAACATCTTTAGAAAGACGACACGAAGGCTCATGTTGCAAGCTATATGAAAGGCTATCAGCCTGTTCTTAGACTGACCTTCACTAAAACACAAAGGCAGCTTTAGCTATCCTTGCAGTGTATTTCCCTTTAAGTAAGCAATAGTTATCTATTCTCTACCTCCCAGGTTCCATTTTAGCAGTAAGATGGCTACTATTTGGACTATGTTGAATTTTAAGTAGACACCCAACCACCAGAATTAGAAAACATAATCACATTATGTCTAGAGAAGCATGTTAAAATTATGTATAGAAAAGCATGTTCTTTTTACCTCCGATATTCTGTAGGGCAGTGGCTCCAAAGATTACCAGCTTCCCTGTAGTGCCAAAGACTTGTTCTCCTAGCTTTTCATAAACCATGCAGCCTATTTAAAAGCAAAATTTGAGGACACAAGAAATGACAAGGTTCTGAAGTAAATACAGCCCACATTTCCTTCTGCTGAGCACTTCCTGTATTACCTGATGCCTTTCTTAAATTCAGGTAAATAAATAGTCATCATGGTTGTGCTGGAGTTAAGGCTCTGCCATTATATGACAACCCTCTGACATTTTAAAATGTCACATATGACTATATTTCTCCTTTTTCATATTGGCTATAAAAGCATGACAACTAAACTATTAGATCACAAGGCTTATTTTTTAATTATCTCTACCTTGGGGTTGGGCTGTGAATATAAAATTTCCACCCTGATCTTTCTCTCAAAGTTGGTGTGTCCCACTGGAAACAGATTTGATTTTAAAAAGATCCTGATGTCTGAGACAAAAAGTTTCCTGCTGAATTAATTACTGAACTGATTAAGCTAACAAAGAATTCCCTTCATACCATCCTAGGAATCTCTTTCATCCTAAAACACTACAAACATCTAATAGTCACCACATAAGAATTCCGATCATTTGTAAAATTCGGCTCAAAAATATGTAACTCCCAAAAGAAAGCAGCAGACAAATCTGTCCAATGAGTAATTTGGTTATGGCAAAATTTTAAAGTGGGTAACCAGCTCATTTCAACAAAGTCTAAAATTCTAAACCATTCATTAAAAACAAAACCTCAGGGTTGATATTTCTTTATGACAGTTTAGCTCATGTTTTCAAAAGGTTCACAGAAAGCAATATGGGCCAACTTATAATTAAATCTTTGTTTAATTTCTCCTATGACTGGTGTTTAAAGTAGACAATGGCTAGATCCTGAATTTATTACAAAATGTTCCAGTCATCTGTATACAGTAATAGCTGGCCAATGTGGCTTTAGCTAATGTAAAAGTCAAACATAATCCAGTGTCCCAGGAATAGAAAATAAGTACTTCAGGTATTATACTGCCCAAGGAACTTAATTCCTTGGTGGGTTGCTTACTTCTATACAGTCTCCAGAGTAACATTTTCTCCCAGAATATGTGCAAAGGAGAATCAAAGGTCTGTTTACTTTTAAAGCCTGGGAGGTTATGATATGAAAACATGGAGTATTTGTTTAGGATCTACAAAGACCAAAGGAAAAGCTGAAGCCTTTAAAATGAAGTCATCTTAAACTAGAAAAACAAGTACGACTGATGTTCACTTCCAATGAAACTATTTGTTCAGAATCTATGGTCATTTAATTTAAATGTGCCTGTCTATTTCTTTAGGCAAATACTGTGGTAAGTCTCCCAGTTACTGTAGGTCAAAGTCAGTCTTTCTTTTTAATCAAGCGGCTGAACACAGAGAATAACATCTAGTCACAAAATCGGCATGAAAATTATTCACCCTGACTTTAATAAAATTAGACATCTTCTCAGCTTACCTGTTTCCTTAGAGCAGATCAACAGAAGGTTTATTGAATAGATAGACAGCAATGTCACTGAAATCAAAAGTATCCTAAAGTAAAGAAAATAAATCCTGTTATAGTAACTAGGAAACAATGTATTCTGGCCTCATGTTTTTGAAAGGCAAAGGTCTATTTATACAGTTAATAGTACAGAAACTGTGGAACCTATTAGTCACCCTGCTTTGAGAGCTTCAATAAAGTACTCATTATCATCTGAGTAACTGTAGCAGCTCAAGTCTTTTATATAATTCAAAGCCCAAGTAGCTGTTTGGGAACATTTCAGTGAAAATGACGTGAAGATCACATGATGAAAGGAAGCCTTTGTAGTCTGTGGTGTGTAGAATTTTGTCATTTCCAGGTGAGAAAGTGGGTAGTCAAAGCTTATAGTAACCTTAGAAGAGGGACCATGTGACTTTGGGCAGCTTGCTTAACTTCTTCCATCTCTAGATCCCTTTAATAGAAGGACACAAATCAAATGAAGTTATAGATCACCGCTACTTTTCAACCTATACATTGTACCACTAATCTAATGTGGCTCTTAGATCAATACATACTTCTTTTAACTGGTGGGGAGGTTTGGACCACTGTGCTTAGTGAGAATATTTATTTTGCTAGTGATGAACTCATGTTTTCATTTTAGTACATCTGGCTCATTAAGAAACCCAGCTAAAGAAAAAGCACAGTTACAATGATGTGATTATTGTGATGTGATTATTTCTGAATCACTGGGTTAAAACAGACATGATAACTGCAAATAAAAACTTCTATTTAAAAAGAAAAAAAAAATTACAATTTCCAAGTGAAACCACTCAGTTTCTGATGCAGAAAGATATCCCCAAGACAAAAAATATGTCACAGCAATTGATTCCAAGTTTGAGCAATTAAAGGCAGTTATTTTCCTAGCAAGAGTTGTTGAGAAGTACTTGGCCCAGCATACTGTTCTCATGGTTCTTAGCGTAGGCTGCCCACCCTGACTGCCCCATCCCATAGCTGTGAACTGCTGCTCTTGGCGCCTCGGGGCTTCCCTTGTCTAGGCAGAATGACTGTTTCTGGCTCTCCATGGTCCCACAAACTTTTGCTTCTCTTGTGTGTGGTGCAGCCCTGGGAAGACAAGCTGGGGGCTCAGAATGGTCACCAGTGGAACAGATGGGCTGCCAGAAACTGGCCAGAAAACAGAAAGAAGAGGGACAGGTAAGGCAAACACAGAGAGAACAGAAAACCCAGCACTGAGTAAAGGTCAAACCATTCCTTCCAGTAAAGGAGATTTTAGGCTGACCATGTTTATGAAGGATGTTAATTCAGATACATACTTATTTAGTTAAGATTCCTGAGTGAGGAGGATGATTAAGAGAATAAGTCTGTACGCTGTACTCCAGTTATTAGACAGCAGAAACAGACAGTAAGCATTTATTAACTAATCCAGTAGTTCTGAGATTTGTAATAGAACATGATTTGATATGCTCTGTCAGAGAAAACGATACAGGACCAAACTGCAGCTTGATGTTTCTCTACCTTGTAAGATAAACAATACTTATGTTAAAGCAAGTTTTGAGTTTCACTCGGTGTTCTCTTGTGTGTGCAGGCACTGGAATAGAGGCATCGAACGAATGAGCTTCTTGGTGAGCACAGGATGGTGACCCTAGGAACTCCCGTGTGCTGTTCTGGCATCCTGGTACAATGCCTTGGTGAGACTCTGATGGGACTGACAGGAGAAGTAGGTCCCATTTGGCCTAACTATTTCCCTTCTGGGTATTTTCCCAAAAGAATTAAAAACATTATACCCTAGCAATATATGTGCACCCATGTTTATAGCAGCACAGTTTATAATACCCAGATCTTGGAAACAACCTAAATGCTCATCAATTGAGGAATGAACAAAAAAGATGTTATATTTCTATACAATAGAATACTATTCAGCCATATATAATGAGAAGTTGGACATTTTTATAGATGTCCTTATATAGACGGATGCACTTGAAAATATACTTATTAGAGAAATAAATGTCATGCATGCGTAATCATCACATTGTTTCATTAGCATGAGAAGGAAAACACATGTATTTTGTCCCGGAGAGAATGACTTCAACCACGCAAAAATTCAGGCCATACTTGTCTTCACTTTAACTATCCTACTATAAGCAGTTTTGAGTTGGTTTTTGGATGTTTTATGAAATTTTTCATTGGGGGTGGGGATTTAGCTCAGCGGCAAAAGGGCTTGCCTTGCAAACAGGCAGTAGTGAGTTCAATCCCTGATACCGATAAAAACAAAAAAGACAAAAAATAATAATAATAATAAAATAAAATGAAATTTTTGATGTGCTATAATGTTTGGGTTTTTGCATGTGGATATCCAGTTGTTCTAGCATATTTACTAAGGGTACAATTCTTTCTCTACTTAATTACTTTTGCATCTTTGCCAGAAATCAAATGTCTGCTATGTAGTTATCTATTTTGGGACTTTATATTGGTACTTTGTTATCTTGATATCAATGCCATTTTGTCATGACTGGTGTAACTTTGTGATAAGTGATAGGGTTGGAGCTCAAACTTTGCTTCTTTATCAAAATTATTTAGACTATTCTGAGTCTCTTTTATTTTTACCAAAATGTAAGAATCAAATGTCAATGTATATGAAAAATGATGTTGAGTTTGATAAGGAATTGTGTTTTCTGATTTTTATAATTTTCTTCTATTCGTTTTTGGTTTCATTCTGTCATATTTTTAATAAAAAAATAGGATATTTTGCCTTAACAAAAAAAAAAAAAAAAAAAAAAAAGGAGATGGGCCTTGGATTTGGTGTCACCTGGAATGGTGTATTCTTGTCCCCAGCTCCTCTCTTCTCCACCTGCTTCCTGGATGCTATGTGTTGAGTGCCTTTTTCTGACAGTGCTTCCTCTGCCATCCTGTTCTGCCCTGGTATCAGCCGACCCTGCACTTGAACTGTGAGCTCAAATAAACTTTTCCTTTAAGCTGTAGGTACTAGGTATTTTGTTTCAGTGATTGGAAAGTCATAAGACACTGCATCAGTTTCTGTCCAGACTGTGCAAAGCATGATCAGATTTTTAATTCCCTAAACTGGAAATCATACTTCTTTTAAGGCATCCTATTTCAGGTTCATTTTTATTGTATCATACTTTTTATTCTTTTTTAATTTCTAGAGTTAAATTTTTACTAGGCTAAGTCTGCCTGATTCTATCCTGTGTATGTATATTTTAAAGCTAAGTGTAGAACTCCATTTGTTTCTATTAATTTTATCTCAAGTCATATCTCTTGGAATTGCTAATTCTTTGTACTTCATGTTATATATCTCATTAGATTCACATCTTCAGTGTACCTTCATTCAAGCCACTGCTACTAACTTTGAACAGAAGACCATCCAGAAGTTGTCCATGGTCAAGCTAACTTCTCACGTCAGAATCCTGGAAGTCACCCTTGATTTCTCACCCACTCTCATCCCTCATGCATAATGGCAGTGTCCTCTCCTTTATATCTCCAAATTATATCCCAAATACATGTGCTTTTGCCTCTATAATAGTTAATTTTTTTTGTCAGTTTGAGTAAAAAGTATCCAATTGATTGGATTAGCATAGATCTGGGTGTGGCAGAAAACTGGAGACAGAATATCCACCCTGGGTGTGAGTGACACCCAACTGTCTTGTAGTCTGAAGAGAATAAAAAGGGAAAGAAGGAAGCTTTGCTTCAATTTCTTCAGAAGTACTCCAATCTTCTCCATTGCCCTGGAACATGCAGATTTCCAGCACAGACCTGCACCCGCCCAACTCAGCTCTTTCAGCCTCTAATGCAGACCCTTCAGCTACCAACAGCTCTGCAGTGAGTTCCAGGTCTTCCTCCTTTGTGCTCTGCAGCACACTGACACCCATTTGCGTTTTTCTACATCTGACCCTGCAGGGAGTCATTACAGACCTACCTTGTAAATCATATATGCATACATATATTATATTCAGTTATTATTATAATAAATCTGTTACTCTAGTGAATTTTGATGAGTACAACTCCCATTTCAATGCAAGACACCATCATTTTTAATTTTTGGATAACTATGATAATCTTTTTCTGTCTCTCTTTTATTGCCTCCTCAGATCCATTCTCCACCCAGCAACCAGAATCATCTTTTTATTTTATTGCTTTGTTAGATATCTTCATTACTAGATTATATAGGACAAGCCATGATGGTTTAATTTGACTATTAGCCCATTTATATTCAAAACCAAATCCACGACCAATAGGTCCTTTGTTACTAATTTGGTTAACTTATAAATATAAGATCTCACTTGCAAGTTATGTGGGACTAAAAGAGATTCTACCTAAGATAATCATGTGACCTACTAGTTCACTTGTATCTCCAAAACTGGTATTAATTTAGGAAAGCCTGTGAGGTCTTTGGAGCATTATTTTCTGCAGTAATTCCAAATAAACAAGTTATTGAATAATTTGCTATAGAACATTCTCTGGAATCTACTTTTTGCTACTTTTGAATGCTAGACTGGAATATACTCACTTCCAATCCTAAGGATACTTAGGCTTTCCATGATTTTCTAAGATATTTGTGACAGTGATTTCATAGATACTTACTCTATTTGCTGCAAGAAAATTTTGACATATCTTAAACAATGAATTTCTAGGGAACTATTTGAAAAATACTTATCACTTTTTTGACTCACAATAACAGGATTGTGATTCTTTAGCCTTCCATGACTTACCCCAGAATTGCATGAATGTTATAGCAAGTTTTACTTTGTAAAGTACTACAGCTAGTAAAATGGAAAACTGTGACAACTGGAATAACATGTTAAAAGTGACTGAAATGTTCCATAGCATGATTGTGGTGGTGATTTTACAAACTATAGGTAGGTGACGTATCAAATCCATCCTTTAAATAGGATTTTATTGTCTGTAAAGTACACCTAAAACCTACCAAGAAACAAAGTCATAATACTTTAAGAAGTAACACTGTATTTTGAAAGTCAAGTTATACAGCAAGATTCATGCAGCACTCTTAACCCAACATCAGAGCCCTTGGGAGGTGTGGAGGTGAAACAGCCACCACTGCTCTTGATCCAGAAATAGCTCTGAGGGGGTGATGGGGCTGTCTAGCAGCTGAGTGCTTTCAACTCCTCCAGGATGTGTTTCTCTGAAAAGCATAGGGAATCCTTAACCAGCCCTTCCTAGCATGATGCTTCTTTGCCAAAGCTGAAAGCAGGTTTTCTCAAACTTTAATAAATTACAAACCTTGTTAAAATGAATATTCTGGAAACATTAGCCAGAGCAATTATACAAGAGAGAGAAAACAAAGGAATAAGGATAGGAAAAGAAGTTAAACTATCATCATTTGTAGATGACATGACACTCTACATAGAAGACCCCAAAAATTCCATCAAAAGACTTCTAGAGTAAACCAAATTCAGTAGCATAGCTAAATACCAAGTCAACGCTCAAAAAGAAACAACAAACTCACTGGGCCAGCAATCAGGGGAAACATATCCTTCACAATAGCATCAGAAAAAAAAAAAAAAAAAAAAAAAAAAGAAAGAAAAGAAACACAAATCAATCCAACAAAGGAAGTAAAGGATCTATATACTGAAAATTACAGCACTTTGAAACAGGAGATTGAAAAGAACATCAGAAAATGAAAACATATCTCTTGCTTATGTATAGGAAGAACCAACTTAGTGAAAATGGCCATACTCCTCAAATTGTTATGCAGATTTAATGCAATCTCGATCAAAACACTATTTGACATACCTCACAGAACTAGAGAAAACTTCTCTAAAATTCATCTAGAACCCGAAAGAGACCTAGAATAACAAAGAAAATCCTGGCAACAAGGGCAAGACAGGAGGCATCACAATTCCTGATTTGAAATTATACTATAAAGTTACTGTGATAAAATCAGCATGGTACTGGCAAAAAAAACAGACCTGAGGATCAGTGGAACAAATTAGATAACACAGACACAACTACAAACACACTTAGCTACTTTATCTTTGACAAGGGGCCAAATATGTTCACTGGAACCATAGCCTCTTTAATCAATGGTGCTGGAAAAATTGGCTTTTCACATGTTCAAGACTAAAACTAGACCCATATCTATCACCAAGCACTAACCCAAAGTCAAAATGAATCAAAGATCTAAATATTAAAATAGAAACACTATATTTACTGAAAGATAAAGTAGGTAGAAGTTTTGAAGACATACATGTAGGCAGAGACTTTGGGAACAAAACCCAAACTGCATGGGAAATACTTCAAAGAATCAACAACTGGGATCCTATTTTATTAAAAGGCTTTTGTGTTCGTCAAAAGAAACCACCAACAAAGTGAAAAGACAACCCATAGAATGGGGAAAGATTTTAGCCAATTGTCCCTCAGACAAAGGACTTCTATTTAGAACATATAAGGAACTGAAAAAAAAAAAAAAATCAGACCCCTTGCCAAATTCAAAGACCCAATCCAGAAATGGGTAGCTGAGATAAGCACACACTTATCAGATGAAGAAATACAAATAGCAAACAAATATATGAAAAAATGTTCAACATCATTGGTCATTGGAGAGATGCAAATTTAAACAACACTAAGATTCCATTTCACCCAGTAAGAATAGCTACCATCAAGAAATCAACCAATAACATGCTGGCGAGGTATGGGGAAAAAGGACCCCTTCTCCACTACTGGTGGAGAACGTAGAGTTGTGCAACCACTATAGATAGAAATCAATGTGGAGATTTCTCAAAAAACTAGGATTAGTGCTATCATTTAATTCAGCTATTTCCCTTTTGGGTATTTTCCCAGAAGAATTAAAACATTATACCCCAGTGATATATGTGTACCCATGTTTATAGCATCATAATTTGTAATAGCTAAATATTATAAACCAAAATACCCAATAACTGAGGAATGGATAAAAAAAGATGTAGTATTTTTATATAGCAGAGTATACTCAGCTATAAAGAAAGATAAACTTGAGACATTATAGGTAAATGCATGCAACTTGAGACCATACTTATAAGTGAAACAAATCAGACTTGTGTGTGTAAACATCATAGTGTCACCCTAGTATAAAAAGCTGAAAGAGTAAATAAGATCCAAAATGTGCAACAGATATTGTGAAATGGGAAGAAACTTCATAAAGGAAAGAGAAACTAGGATAGGAGAAAAGAAGGAAAAAGGAAAAAAATATATATATACATATATAAAATAGTTAATATACCACTACTACTAATTCCTATTAGTTCACTGAAAAGATTTGTGCCTATATTGTTTGCTCAAGTTTTCATGCCTATATTTTGCAATCTGAGCAACTACTTTTAAGATAACAATACACAATGTATTAACCACTGTACTTTCCTATAATCTTGCTTTGAAATTTTGTACCATTGTTTTTACCTTTTTGTCTTTGAAATAAAACAAACAACAACAAAAGACAAATATTCTCATTTGGCTACTGGGGGTTGTCCCAGACTCTGCATTTTTAGCCAGTATTCTAGAGATGTTGATGCTGCTGGTCTGTGGACCACACAGATGCAGTGAGATGTGAGGCACCGACCTGTGGCCCTGGGGTACATACCTCTTGGTTGTTTCTCACCAAAGTGGTACTGTGGTGAGAGCCCTACCATGTGGCTGCAGTGTGGGGCTGGGCCAGTATCACAGCTCAATTAGTGAGAACACAGACCAATAGCTGCCCAGTGAGACTGATAAAGGGAAGTGCTGACAGCTGAGTCACTGTCATTTTCACTGGATGCTGACTAGGTCTGGGAATAAAAGGCTAGGCCTTGTCTACTTTCTTAGTTGACTTATTCAAGCTTTACTTACTTTAGCAGGACATGTGTCTAAGCATGTTTTCAAATTCTCCTCTCACACGTCTTTCCTTCTAAAAGTGATCTGAGGCTCATCACACTACGCAATTCTTCCTTCTCTTTTTTCTGTCTCCCTCGCTCCTTCCCTTTTTCCTTCCCCTTACTTCTCTTCTTTTGCTTTTTAATCAGATGATCCTATATTGAACTATTTTCCTCTATTCCCTGGTGGTTTCCTATGTCATCACTTTTGATGGCATCTGGGATAGCCAGATGGTAGTGGCTGTCAACACTGCAGCCCACACCTGGGCAGTGCCCAGGATCTCCTTAAACGTTCCAGAAAATTCTCTGGCTAACCACCCAGGCCACATCTGTTGGGCAATTGTTGCTATTTCCACTGTGGTGGGTGTCCTGTTTCTCTCTGTCTCTTGGTTGCTCTCTGGGAGCTTCGGTGATTGGGTCAGAAGTGACACTACCCTCTCCATCTGGGGCTATCTGTTCTGAATGGTGAGTTTTCCTGTCATTCTTATGCTCTTCCAGTTACAGGGTGCCTTGGCGATGTCTATCACTGATTTTCATTGGAGACAGACTCAGGGGGCCAATCCTGAGCTAAGGTAGACGTGGCACCTACCTTGCTACGGCTTTGATCTCATTGGGGTTGAAAGTGGGTGGCATGGTGGGGGCTGCTGATGTCACATGAAGCAGGATTCCAGACAACTAAAGAAAGGTACACCTTGGCCTCTGAGCCAAAGAAACAAAAATTAATTCTTTCTCTTCTGAATCTAGTTAGAAACCTAACCCATCCTCAATTAAGTGAGAATAGTCCATATAAAAACTCCTGAGTGGGGGTAAATACATTTTACATTAGTCCTGCTTTTATTTACCCGCAACTGATTTCAAAACTCATAGACATACTGCAGGCTGAGCCAGAATATTTATAAGAAAAAATTAAAACACAGTACAAAAGAACTAGGTAAGCCCTGAAAAACACATGCTTTTTGACCATTCATCTTGCTCCAATCTTTCTCTTCAGTTGCTGTTTTCTCTCCTTTTCTTTCTCCTCCGACCTTTCCAAACTGTCTCAATTCTGCTCCTGAAACTTTTCATTGATTTTCTAATCTCTGTTATTTATCTCTCCCTGGTCTGCTCTCCATCCTAGGTACTTCCCTAAGGGAAGCACCTCAGAG